ACCAGGACAGGGTGTGAGCAGCACCCAGCTGGGCTAGGCTGCAACACCCATCAGTGGGAACTGAGATTGCAGGTGGACTGGGCCAGTCTGGGTCAAAGCACCTGCCAACACACACAAGATCTACGGGTGGAAATGAGCCTGGCAGGGGACTCCCTTGCTGGGCTGCAGCTCCCACTGGTAAGTATGAGAGCAGGGACTATCGGCAGACCAGGCTGAGCAAGGCTGCAGCACCCACTAGCATGCATGTGGATTGGGTTGGGGGAGGGCTAGAGTAGGCTCTAATACTTGATGGCACTCGCAAGAACCAGAATGGGTTTGAGACAGGCCAACCTAAGCCACAGCACCCACCAGGTCACATAATACTGGATCTGGGGGAAGGCCTGGCTGGTTTGGACTATATGTGGGCCAATCGGGCTAGATGAGTGCCAGGACTAGGGACCAGCCATATCAGTCTGGGCACCTACCAATACACATGAGATCCATTGCTGGGAGCAGCACTAATAGAGGAACTTGGGGAACTCCCAAGCTAGGAAACAGCTCCTGCAGGTGAGCACAAGAGCCAGGGATGGGAGTAGGCCACACCAGGATGGGCCGGGATGAAGCACAGGCCAGGCCCATGTTGACCATGACACCTGCCAGTTTACAAGAGGACTGGAAGTGGGCTAGGCTGGGCTAGGCTGCTGTATCCATATGTGAGAATTGGACTGGGCTGGGCACCTACAGCCAAATGCCAAGACATGGGGCAGGCCATCTCAGACTGGGCCATAGCACCCATTGGACACATAAGGCCTAGAACTGACAGCCAACCTTACAGGGGAACATTCAGGACTCCCCAGCAAGGACACTACTTCCACAGATAAACATGAGAGTTGGGACTAGGGGTGGGCCAGGCTGGGCTAGGCTTTTGCATCAGCTGGTGTGAAAGAGAGCCAGGTAGGTGCAAGTCTGCTGGGCTAGGTTGCAGCATCAGCTGACAAATGCCAGGACCGGGTACAAGTCTTGTCAGGCTGGACCACCATACACCCTGGCAGGCACAAGATCTGAGGCTGGGAACATGCCTGGCAGGGAAACTGTGTACTCCCCTGCTATACAGTACCTACCACTGGTGAGCATGAGAGCCAGGACCAGGGGCGGGCCAGACTGGACAAAGCCGTGACACCTGTTGGCATATGTGAGGGCAGGGTCTGAAAATAGGTAGGGCTGAGCAAAGCCACAGCACCCATGGCTGTGACAGAGAGCCAAATGGGATGCAGGCTGGGCTGGGCTAAGCAACAGCAAAAACTGGTATGCGCAGAAACTGGGGCTAGAGCAGGCCTCCTGGGGGATATCGGGGGTTGCCCCAATGAGACTGCAGCACATGCTGGTAGGTCTGAGGACCAGGTCTGTGGCAGGCTGGCTAGGGTGGGCTACAACATCAGTTGGTTCAGTTCACATGAGATATGACAGACACTTGGGTGGACTGACCAGGCAGCTGCATCTATCAATATGTGCATTGGCTGGTGCAGGTGACAGACCAAACTTGACCCCGCACTGGCCGGTGCACACAAGAGTCAAGTCTGAGACCACCGTAGGCAAGGTTTCTTGGCAGAATCCCCAGCTAGCCAGCTGAGAAATGCGTGGGTACACAGAAAGCTAAGAAGGAGGTGCTGGACTCGGTCATTTCTCTGTTCCCAAGGCCTCATCCTCAGATGACCCAAGCAGAGCAAATGAAATGCAGCTCATGTTGCTGCAGAAATAATCACAAACTCCAACAAAGCCAGTAGCCAAGACAGCAGGGATTCAATTTCCCTCCGCCCTCTATGCAGAACACTCCCAGGCCCAGCTCCCTGATGGCCAAGGGAAGTGGCAAAAGGGGGTGTGAAGGACTCAGTGCATGAAGACTCCCTGCAAAGCTGCCATGCCAGGTCAGACACCCTGTAGGCGCAAAGAAACTACAGCACACTTACAGCCCACTACTCCAGGGTCGGCCTTCCCGGACCCTGCTCCTGCTCCTGCTGCCTGCGAGTCAGCTAGTCTAAAGTGTCAGAGTGGCAACTGTAGGGCAGAGGTCAGAGGACTAATCAATGTGCACCCTTCCTTCCCTCATGCCTGGTCCTCACCATGAATAACTGGAGGGCGCAGACCCAGGCTAATTCCTCTTCGTCACCTTGGAGCCTCACACAGTGCTTGGCATAGAAACAATCAAATAAAAAAGCACCAGCCATGTAATGTAAAGAGAATACTACAATGGACTAGAATTGGAGATAAAAGTACTGCAGTTTTACAGAGACAGAAAAAAGTGTGTGTGTGTGTGTGTCTATTCATATACTGAATCCAAAGGGCATCTCATCTACACTCGCATGCCTCGCCTCCACCTTTGGGTCAATCAGGATCATTCTCCAAAGGAACCAGGGCTCCTTAGAGAAGTCATCCATCCCAAGACTGGGGCAGGCAAAACACAAGATGAGCCTGAAATGGAAGTGGGCCAGTTCTCAAAAAACGGATACCAGCAACCCTCTGAACACCCAGCTGCTCCACTTTCAATCTGACTCCCTGCTAATGCACCTGGGGAAGCAACAAAACACAGCCAAGTGCTTGGGCCCCCACCACCCACGTGGGAGACCCAGAAGAACCTCCTGGCTCCTGGCTTTGTCCTGGCCAAGCTTCAGCCATTAAGACCATTAAGACTCTCTCTCTCCTCTCTCATTCTGCCTTTCAAGTAAGTAAATCTTTAAAACAATAGACACGGGTGGATGTCTAGCACAGGAGTTTAATGCTGCTTGGCACGCCTGAACCCCGCAGCACGAAGCCTCGATTTGAGTTCTGGCTCTGCTTCTGATGCTGGCTTCCGGTGAACAGACACCCTGACAGGCAGCAGGTGATGGCCCGAGTCAACAGGCCCCGGCTCAGCTCACAGAGACCCAGCTCACAGAGACCCAGCTCACAGAGACCCAGCTTGCAGAGACCCGGTTCACAGAGACCTGGCTTGCAGAGACCCAGCTCGCAGAGACCCAGCTCGCAGAGACCCAGCTCCGAGCTCCACGCTCTCAGCTTCAGCCTCGTCCAGCCCCGGTGGTTGCAGGCATTTGGCGAGTAAGCTAACAGATCGAAGATGTTTACCTTTCAAATAGATAAAAATATATATTTTTTAAACCTTAAGAGCAAGTAACTCAGTAAACAATAGGATCAGCCAGGGTGATAAGGAGTCTTACCGAAAAGTTGCTGTGTGAACGCAAGGTAGAGAAGGGGTCTCCAAAGTGCAAGATGTTATTCCCCATGAGGAGCCTGACCCAAGGTTACAAAATTAACAAACATCTACTACCTGCCAACCCCTTGGTCAGAATCAACTGCACCCTGCTTCTTCTGGTCTACTGTAGACACCTGTACCAACAGTGCCTGCTTTCTGATCGGGCCTGTGCACATACGTGTCAGCTTATAAACAACCTGCACATCAGAAGTCTGGTGCTCCAAAAACGCTAGCGTCACCCAGGAAAGTGCCACTCCGTCACTGGAGCCCCCCCAACTCCTCACCGTGTCCCCCAAGGCTGAGTCACTGAGACTGCAGCCAGCTGGCCGGCGCTAACCTTGGAAGTGCTTCTCCAAGTTCCCGCCTGCTGTGCCAGTCTCCTGGCCCTGCAGATGCTAGCTTGACAGGGGAGATAATGATGTTTTACCCTTCACTCACTCTTTTATCAGCCACGCCGACAAGCCCAGACAGCACTCTGATATGAGAAAACACTCCCGCTGCGCTGCCACGTGCTCTGCAGCACCAGCCGTTTGCCTCTTCCCCGGTATGACTCCTAGGACGCAGCCTGCACCCTGATATCGGGTGACAGCCACCGCGTACTGCCCTCCTGCCAAATAACAGGGTGCACTCTCCCTGCCACACCCTCAGAGCTGTCTGCTTCTGCCTTTCAGATGACCTACCCGTGAGCGGGCAGCCACCTGCGGAACACCCACTGCCCACCTGCTCTCTAGACTTCGCCAAAGAAGAAGCCTTGCCCTGACCTTCTGCAGGGGTTTCCAAGATCCATTACTGGGGTTAGGAGGACCAAGAGGGCCAGGACAAAGGCAAACAGTGCTGTCTGCGAGGCAGGTGCTTTGAGATTCTCCAACAAGACCTACAATCATTCACCTGTCTACTCAGTGAGTCTTTTCAGAATCTACTGTGTCCCGAGTGGGTACTGGGAGGATGGTGACAGACGTGGAGATGCCACAGCCACGACCAAGTTCTTGCTCTCACAAACCAACTTCACACTACACAAGGCAGCGGCTCTGACAGTTCCTATAGAATCCTCAGGAGGGGGAGAGAGGGGATATTTAAGTGATCTAAAAGCATGAGTAAAAATATTCTAAGAAGCAAAGGGCATCCCAGGATGGGAGAAATGCCTGGGCAGACCAGTCTAACAACAGAACTCTCTGGAAGGGCCAAAACAGTCTTCACTTAAAACTCAACTGACACCCAAAAAAACGCCTCTTGTTGATCCCCCAACTCTCAGGGGTATGCAGACATCACAACTACACCAACCTCCCCGTTGCCAGGGAGGAGAAATTGAACAGAAGCCACAGCTCCACTCAGAGGCCTACAAGAAGCCCCAAGGTGACCTTCAGGTGGGACAGCAATTAACCTCTTCCAGCTGGGTTTTGCTGACTAAGCTGACTGGACGCCAGCTAAGGTACCTCGGGGACAAAGCCTTCATCCCGCCTGAGCCATTCCAGGCATCTGCACTGCCCAGAAACACACACACTGACCTCCCCGGCAGCACCTTGCAGATGAACAGCCCCAGTGCCCTGGGATCCACCTTGATGTCAATCTAGGGGCCCTTCTCATTGGCACTGAACTACCTCAGCACGAAGGGAAAGGTGGTCCTCCCTTCCTTCCTTCCAAGGCCCCAGTCAGCCAAGGGCCCAAGGACCCCAGGCTTAACCACGATTCTGCCCTCAGCCCATCGCCAGGTACCTACCAAAATCCTATTGGCTGAGCTGCCACCCAGCCAAAGTGGGTCCCATTGTTCCCGTACCTTGGATCGAAGCTGCAAATATTCCTCTGAGCCATACGGGACACTCCTAAGGGACGTGAGATAGTCATAACTGATGGCAGCCGTCTGTGGACCAGAGAGCAAAGAACTTACCACTTGGATACCCAGTACAACTCCTCCACCCCAGCCTTGCCCACACAGGCTGCCAAAGTCATGCTCAAGCTGCTCCCAAAATGAGACCACTTACCGTAGCCACAGCTCTGCCCACCCGGATGGCACCGAAGTCATTAGGGTCCAAGTACTTGTTACTATAGAGGTAGACGCCAGAGGCAGCAAGAGCCATGCCAGTCCATGAAGCAAGCTTGAGGGCCTTCCTGGCCATGTTCCCAGACCCTGTAGCAGAAAGCAAAGTGGAGAAAGACTGATGGTTAGAGTTCTCCTAATCCAACTGAGATTCAAATTTAGGACTTGATGTTAGGACTTGATGAAATTAGACACATGCAATTGTCAGCACAACACTGGGCACACACAACCAACACACAGGAACAGGTGCTGTGGGTGTTCCAAGAAGGTCTTAACCTCTGCACCAAATACTCATGCCAACAATTACTTAAAAGAAATAATTTTAAGAAATAAATCAAGAAACTCCTGAGATTAGTTCCTATGTCCTCAAAAAGGCAATTGTTACACTGCCCATTTTTAAATTGTTTAGAATTATTTTTAGTAGCTAAGATAAAGAAACAACTTAAGGATCTTCCATCAAGAAATTCTGAGAGGCAGATGTTGTGGCACAGTGGATTAAGGCATCACCTGAGATACCTGCAACCCATGCAGAAGAATCGGCTCCAATTACGGTTCTTCTACTTTCGATCCAGTTTCTCACTAATGTGAGAAAGGCAGCAAGAGGCTGGCCCAAATACTTGGGCCCTCACCATCTCTATGAAAGACCTGCATGGAAGTCCTTTCTGCCAAATTCGAACCTGTCCAAGCTGCTGCAAGCATTTGGGGAGTGAACCAGGGGGATGGAGGGGGGATTGGCTTTTTTATAGGTAGTAAGATGCCTTTTCCCTACAGCAGAGGCTTTAGAAATGACCAAATCTGGGCCAGTGCATTGACTCAACTAGTTAATCCTCCATCTCCAAGCACAGCATCCCATATGGGTACCAGTTCGTGTCCCTGCTTCTCCACTTCCCATCCAGCTTCCCTGCTTATGGCCTGGAAAATCAGTGGAAGAAGGTACAAGCACCTGAGATGCTGCACCCCTGTGGGTGACCCCAAAGAAGCTCCTGGCTCCTGGCTTCAGTTCAGCTCAGCTCCAGCCATTGTAGCCACTTGTGGAATGAACCAACGGGTAGAAGATCTTTCTTTGTTTTTCTCCTCTGTAAAATTTGTCTTTCCAATAAAAATAAATCCTTAAAAGGAAATAAATGGCCAAATCTGTTCTGGAGCACTGATAGGAGACAGTCAATTTTGCATCTTGTTCCTGATGTAAAAATAAATTAAAGTGGATGTGTACGTGGCATAAAGCTGACTCTCACAACCAGGTAATTGTGGGGACACCATCACACTCTCGTTGCTTTCTTTCCTTCATTGTGAAATGGGAATTGTAGTACTTTCCATCAGAGTGGTCAAAAGATTAACTGGGGACCCAGCTCCGTTTCCTGTTATGTACACCCTGGGAGGCAGTGTGATGGCTCAAGCAGCTAGGTCCCTGCTACCCATGTGGGAAAGCTGGAAGGAATTCCTGGCTCTTGGCTTTAGCCTGGTCCCATTCCAGCTGCTGTGGGCACTTGGGAAGTGAACCAGCGGATGGCAGATTACCTCTCTTTCTACCCAGCTCCCTGTCTTGCCATCAAAAAAAATAATAATAATAATAATAAAATAACCCACATGAACTGAGATTTTTAAAAAAGGAAGGAAACCTCCCTACCCAGCCTCATTCTGCCATTCCTGAATGGACCAAGGGTCCCTTCTGGACGGGGCATTTGGCAGTTGAAAGCATACAGTCTGAAGCCCTTGAACAGTGGTGTGAGCCTTGGCACAGCCATGCACACTCTGGCTGATGGCAGGAAAGCAGCTCCATCACTCTTAGCCCTGTCTACAAAAGGGGCACTGTGACCAGCAGTCCCTTCCTGATGGAGTGACCAGGACAAACCACAGAACACCTGCTTACACAGTCAGGACTCAATGCTGGCTCTCACCATCGCCCTCCACAGTAACCACCATCGTGCCCTCACCCAACACTGGGCATTGGCAAATGGCTCCCTGCCTCTCCATGCCCAGAGGAATCCTGCAGGCCACACCTGCAGCCTGCTAGCAGCCCCTCACCTGGCCCCAACTTCACCACTGGCAGCAGCCTGGGCCTGAAGTACTTACAGGTGTTGAAAGGGGCAACAGACTCAGATCACCCTCTGCTTTGCTTCACCCAGAATTGGCAGTGCCCTGAGAAACTCCTTACACACTTTCCTTCCTCAGGACCCTCAGCGCCAGGAGGAGCGCTCCAGGGGCCTTCCTGCGTGGCACCCAGGGTAGCTCACATTCAGAGTTGTACAGAACAACTGATGGGGAAGGACCCAGCCTCTGCAGCAGGCAGATCCCTGGTTCAGCTGCTCACTTTAAGGAAGGGGGCTTAGAGCACCCACCTCACAGCGACACCATAAGAATGATACAGAGGGGGGCCCGGCAGCGTAGCCTAGCAGCTAAAGTCCTCACCTTGAACGCGCTGGGATCTCATATGGGCGCCGGTTCTAATCCTGGCGGCCCCACTTCCCATCCAGCTCCCTGCTTGTGGCCTGGGAAAGCAGTTGAGGATGGCCCAAAGCTTTGGGACCCTGCACCCATGTGGGAAACCCGGAAGAAGTTCCTGGATCCGGGCCTCAGATCGGCATAGCATTGGCTGTTGCGCTCACTTGGGGAATGAATCATCGGATGGAAGATCTTCCTCTCTGTCTCTCCTCCTCTCTGTATATCCGCCTTTCCAATAAAAATTAAAAAAAAAAAAAACACAGAACAATACAGACAGGGCCAGTGCTGTGGCACAGTGGACCAAGGGGCGGGCCTGCGATGACCTGCACCCCTGTCAGAGCCTTAGTAAGAGTCCTGGCTGCCCTGCTTCAAACCCAGCTCCCGGCTACCACAACCAGGAAAGCAGTAAAGAGGTGGAACAAGTACTTTGACCCCTGTCATCCACAGGAGAGACTCAGATGGATAAACTATAGCCCACAAGGCCTGTGCAGAGCCACTAACACAGGTGCCCAGGTGAAAATTACCTCTTCTGGGCTATTGATTCAACAGCTATCCTCTAAGGCTGATGCAATGGCTCAACCAGCTAACCCTCCATCTCAAACGCCAACATCCCATATGGGTGCCTGTTCATGCTCCAGTTGCTCCACTTCCTATCCAGCTCCCCACTTGTAGCCTGAGAAAGCAGCAAAGAATGGCTCAGGTCCTTGGATCCCTACACCCACATGGGAGACCTGGAAGAAGCTCCTGGCTCCTGGCTTCAGATCAGCTCAGCTCCGGCCATTGCAGCCATCTGTGGGTTAAACCAATGGATGTAAGAACTTTTTTCCTCTGTCTCTCCTTCTCTCTGTAAATCTGTATTTCCAATAAAAATAAATAAATCTTAAGAAAAAGGGAGGAGGCCCTGCACAGTAGCCTAATGGCAAAAGTCCTTGCCTTGCATGCACTGGGATCCAATATGAGTGCCAGTTGATGTACCAGCAGCCCCACTTCCCTTCCAGCTCCCTGCCTGTGGCCTGGGAAAGTAGTCAAGGACGGCCCAAGGCCTTGGGACCCTGCACCTGCGTGGGAGACCTGGAAGAGGCTCCTAGCTCCTGGCTTTGGATCAGCTCAGCTCCGGCCATTGTGACCACTTGGTAAGTGAACCAGCGCATGGAGGATCTTTCTTTCTGTCTCTCCTTCTCTGTAAATCTCCCTTTCCAAGAAAAATAAATAATAGCCATCCTCATGAGCATCACCCAGCACCACCTCCCAGCCCAGGTCCCCCTCAATGCTATGCTCCCAGGCCTGTCCCATGTAAGCAACAAGACCTCTGAGGACAGCAGTGGCAGCAAAGCTGACATGCCCATGACCCAGTTTTCACGCAAATGCCCTGTGTAATAGAAGAAGGAAAAATTGAAATACATAAAATAGAAGATATTAGAAGCCAACCAGTGTCTCAGAAGACTGGTCCTGGAGTTTTCCATAAGGTGTCAGTGAGTCTTTAACATGCAAATGAGCTGTTCCCCTCCGGGTATTTTAAAAGACCCTGTCAGGCGTGAAATACGGTTTGTCTGCTGTCGATGAAAAACACCTTTCCTTAGCAAGCCCTTTGCTAATGAATCACCTGCCCTGGTCTGTTTACTTGCCTTTTTGACTTTCACCTGGGTCACCCCAGCCACCAGCACGCGGCTGCACAGAGGCTCCCAACCATCAGATCACACCGCTGCACCACCAAAACCAGTCAGGTGAGACAAATATCACCATCCCCAGATTCAAACAGGACACCAAAGCGGCAGGAAAGGGAAGGATTTGCTCTCCTTGGCTCAGTTCAAGAATGGTCCAAATCAGAGTTTGTTCAACCCTACTCTCAATTTATAGCACGTGACCTCTGTGGTGGGGACACTTGGACCCCATATACTAACAGTCTTGCTCTCCTTCAGGAATGCATTTGCGACAGCCAGCTGAGGGCAAGGACTCTGATTTCTGACCCGCAGACACACCCAAACAGCACCAGGCACATGGCTGGTGCTCTCTGGAGTCCTGGAGCTGTCATAAGATCCACCCACGTATCCCACGGGCGATAATCCAGGGCAGGCTGCAAAAGTGACGTGGCTGGTTATCAAAAACTCCTGCTCCTTAGATCACAGGAAACACCCCCAGCCGGGGAGGCATGGAACCAGGCCACAGAGGAGTCTGGGCCTCCTGCAAGCTGGAAGATGGTGGACACAGTTACATCCACCTCTTGAACAGAATCAAATGGAAAATCAAGCACTTGACGTTTACAGTGGTCCATGTGTGGCTAGGCCTTCTCAGGGCCAACCCAAACACAGCTCCCCCTACTCCAGGCCTGGAATCATTCCTCACTCCTCACTCCACACTTGGGGAGAATTGCTACAAAGGCAAGGCACTTGGGCATTTGGCTACATTACTCCAAGCTCAAGCCCCTTCTCATTTCCTAGACAATTACACAAAGGAGCATCATTTTTTTCCCCCCTCTGGACTATCCCCAAGCCTAAAGAGACCCAAAAGTAACCTTGGAGTGAGCAGGTCACCTGATCACTGATGAAGAGAAAAAGCACACAAGGTGGATGATGCCATCACACTAGGTCAACGCCCAGGGACCATGCAGTCTGCCCCACCCTGCAGAGGACAGTGCAGCCCAAGGCCAGACACAAAGCTCAACCATGCTCTGTCTACTGTGACAGCCAAAGGGGGTTCAACTGATGTCGATTAAACAAAAGAGTCTCTGACCAAGGCGAGGGTTCCAAGTAGATGAGGAAAACAAATCTCACCCAGGCAAAGGAAAGAAATTCTGCATTCATTTCACTGTGGAAAAGGGAAGACGTGGAAAGCCACATGCAAGCAGCAAGCACCAAGTCAGAAAAGCAGGTGAACTTCAAGGAAAAAGTCACCTGCTTGCATCCATGCCACAAGTAACCTGCACCAGCAGGCAGGAGGGTAATGTAACTGGCTTATCCTCCAGAGAAACAGGTGGAGTGTGCGGGAAAGGTTTCAAGCAAGGAACCTGTGAGTGACGCAACCAGAATCCAACCCCAACAGTGACAGCTTCGACCAAGACAGCCAAAGTCGGACAAGAACAGACCACTTGGGGCTGACGCCATGGCTCAGCACCCTAGTCCTCCACCTTTAAGTGCTGAGATCCCAGGTTCATGTCCCAGCTGCTCCACTTCCCATCCAGCTCCCTGGGAAAAGCAGCAGAGGATGACCCAAAACCCTGGGACCCTACACCAATGAGAGAGACCCAAAGGAGGCTCCTGGCTTCAGGTCAGCTCAGTTCTGGTCATTTTGGCCATCTGGGGAGTGAACCACTGGATGGCAGACCTTTGTCTCTCCTTCTCTCTGTAAATGTCTCTTTAATAAATCTTTTTTAAAAAAAAATTTTTTTAAAGGCCCAGCACCTCATGAGTCCTGAACTGGGTCTGTGGCATAGAGGTCTAAACCCAGGGGATTTATTCAGTGAGCTGCCCTAGCCGCATGGGAGGGGATGAGTGGCTGAGCCAAGCACAACCTCTAAGTCCCTTGGCTGACAAGAACCCCTTGAATCTATCAGAGAGGGAATAAGAGAGACATTCTCCTAGCAGAGGATGGATTTCACATCTGTGATGCCTATTGCAAAATGAGCAACACATAATGACACAGTAAGATGAAACATGGGGGCTGACACTGTGGCTTGGTGCGTTAAGCTGCCACCCACAACATCAGCATTACCAGGGTTCATGTCCCGGCTACTCCTCTTCTGATCCAACCTCCTGCGAATACAGCCGGAGAGCAAGAGAAGACGGCCCAAGTCGGTGAGCCCCTGACACCCAAGGGGAGACTAAAATGGAATTCCAGTGAATTGAAACCAGCTAATGGAGGATCTCCTTCTGTTTTTCTCTGTCACTTGCCTTTCAAATAAATTATATACATGTATATATAAAACCCAGAAAAAAATAACACGTGTAAACTGATTAAAAAAAAAAAAACCTATACAGAAAACAATGGGGATTTGTGTGTGTGCACACGCAAGTTTACTATAAAGACCAAAGCAAAACTGGCAAACCAGGACCAAATGGCTGACAAACAGCTGTGACCAGTTCGCACAGGCTTTTGTTGGAGTTTTTTATTTTTTTTTTGTTTGTTTTTTTTCCCTGCAATTCTCAAAATAGAATTCCCAAACCAGGGGGTCTCTGCAGCAGCTGGGCCTAATGTCAAAAGTGCAAATTCTCTGCTGAAACATCCGGGTAGGAGGCAGCCTTCTGCGCTGTCAAACACTTGGGGCGATTCCTGAGAATTACTGCGACAGGAAAGGAAGGCACAGATAAAGTCTAACTTCGATTCCACAAATATTTCCTGAGCACCCACTAAGGGCCATGCACCATGGAAATGATCAATAAATACTTGAGTGACTTCCCAAAACAAACGCCGCTCCATCGTGAGAGAGCTGCGCTCCATTCGCCAGCTGTCCTCGGCACAGGTGTATTCCTCCCTAGAGAAGGAAGCAATCGCCTCGAGCACCTGGCAAGCCCAGGTGGAGGAACGGGATAGCTGCACCGTCCCTTAGGGCCACCCAAACGTCGGCTGCAAGCCCAGCCGGCTCGCCCCGGAGCCCACTGCATCCCTGGGTGACGGCGCCTGCGCGGCCCCCTGCGCTCCTCCTCCAGTTCCGCCCACTCGGGTGCCCACGACGCTGGGGCACCCGGCGCCAGGCCGCCCGCTCCCGGGTCGAGCTGGACGGCCACTGCGGAGGGGCGCGGCCTGCGAGCCGCCCGAGCACGTGGCCGCGCGTGGGGCTCCGGTGACAAGGTCACGGGCCGGGGTTCCCTCCCGAGTCCCCAGCCGGAGCCGAGGCCCGCGCCCCTACCCACCTGCAGGGAGGCCCAACCGTGGCGTGCGGCCTCTCGCCACAGCCCGGTGGCAGGCGGCTGGCCCGGAGCAGTGCTCCCCGGCCCGCGGATCGCGCTGGGACAGCCGGCGCCGCGCTGCCTGCCGGGACTTGTAGTTTTTGTTGGTCCCGCAGGCCAGGCCCTTGCAGAGCTCCTGCGCTCTCGGCTAGCGGTTTCCCTCCTTTCTTTGCCGGGACTTTGACCCAGGAATCCTCCCGGGGACCTTTATAGAAGAGTCATTTTAGTAAAGGATAAATTGGGCGCTTATAGATTTTTTTTTTAATGACAGTTCTTGCCACTTCGTTCTCGAATGCCTGCCATAGCCAGGTGGCCAGAAACTCCAGCTGGGTTTCCCACGAGGGTGGCCGGAATGCGCTGCCTCCCCAGGATGCATCTCAGAGGGAAGCTGGGCTAGCAGAGCAGCGACTTTAATGGGAAATGCCAGCGCTCCAACTAGCCGCTTAACCACCTCATCAGTGGCCAGCCCGGGATGTGTACATTTGCAATGAAGTATTAGGACGAGCAGGCAAAGAAGAAAATTGCTCACGGTGGCTGGACGGTAAGAATCTGGTGGGTGAGCAGAGTGGTGCTTGGTCTTTGTTCATTGGCCTGTGTTTTCCTGCAGTTACAGGTGTACCAACACATTCATCAGTCGCCCACTGAGTCTGTAGCTATCCCCCTTTCTGGGGGAACAAAGAGAAAATGAGGGATCTGTCTATTGATTCAAAGTCGTTCCAATGAATGTCCCCCTTTTTGGGTCCTGTACCTTCACAAACTCATCTAAAATTTAGGACAGGACCCGGCCTATGGCACAGCAGCTACACCTCAGTCTCCAAAGCCGGTATCCCACATCTGAATGCCACTCGTTGCAGTCCTGGATACCCTGCTTCCCATCCACCATCCCACTGATTGTGCCTGGGAAGGTAGTAACAAGAGACCCACGTGATTAGGTCCCTGCCACCCAAATGGACATACACAGAGGGCGTTCTGGGGCCCTGGCTTGACCCTAGCTGATGCGGCCATTGGAGGAGTGAACTGGAAGAGGGAACATCGATCTCGTGCTGTCTTTCCCTCTCTAGCACTCTGCCTTTCAAAATATATCTTTTTAAAATATATATATACATATGATCAGTAATGACGATCAAAGGGCAAACTAAAGCCAAAATATTCCTTAAAAATAATATACTTCAGGACCCAGCATAGTGACCTAGTGGCTAAAGTCCTCGCCTTGAATGCCCGGGATCCCATATGGGCACCAGTTCTAATCCTGGCAGCTCCACTTCCCATCCAGCTCCCTGCTTGTGGACCGGGAAAGCAGTCGAGGACGGCCCAAAGCCTTTGGACCCTGAACCCACATGGGAGACCTGAAAGAGGATTTGGGCTCCTGGCTTCAAGTCGGTGCAACACTGGCCGTTGCGGTCACTTGAGGAGTGAATCATCGGACAGAAGCTAGTCCTCTGATTTTGCAATAAAAATAAATAAATCTTTTTTTTTAAAAAAAAAAAAAGGATAATATACTTCAAGGACCAGCTCTTTTACAATCAGTATGAACTATCAAGCTATGACAATTGAGACCAGGTAATATTGGGGATACTGACAAAGGAGAATTATCAATACTAGAGGGCCAAGAAGCAGACCGGGACATCTATTGAATTTTGTGTGTAACAGGGCTGCCACTAGATATAGATATAGATATAGATATAGATATAGATATAGATATAGATATAGATATAGATATAGATATAGATATACATTTACACTATATATGCTTATATATGCACATACATATACATATGTATTTAGATTTATTTAAAACTCAGAGTTGTAGAGGGAGGAAATGACAAAGAAAAAAGTCCTCCATCTGCTGCTGCTTTATTCCTAAGATGGCTCCAATGACCAGAGGTGGATCAGGCTAGGAGTCAGGAGCTTCCTCAAGGCCTCCCAGGAGGGTGGCAGGGCCCAAACATCTGGGCTGTCTTGCATTGCTTTTCCCAAGCCAGTAGCAGAGAACAGCCGTAACTCTACCAGTGCCAATATGGATGCCAGTGCAGCAGCCAGCTACTGTACCAGCTATACCACAATGATGATACCAGAACTACCACTATACCAGTCAAGTACACAGTTTGCAGGCAAAAGAGCAAAAAGATGAATAACTTCCAGCTGGGGTGAGAGTGTAACTACAGCTATGAGCAAAGTAGTACAGGAATACAAGGAGGTAAGGAAAGCATTGATTCTGAAATGCTCTATAAACCAAGAATTGATTCATAGGCCGGGAATTAAACAATGAACAGGAGCTCCCCAGGAGAAGGGTTTTGGGGGAGCTGGCAAAGTTATGTAAAAAAAAAAAAAAAAAAAAAAATACAGCTGCCACAGAATACAATAAAGAAAAAAGATAGCTAAATTAGATATTTAAGTCTGAAAACCACATCTAAAAGTTTACTATAGATATTATAACTAAACATTAAGTTTAAGTGTGAAATTGTTCCTAGGAGGCCAGCAGTTAGCCCTTGGGGAGAGTACATTCACATTCTTTGCCTCTTTGTACTATCTGAATTTTATACAATGAGTATGCAAACTTTTGTATTAAAAAGTACATAAAGCTCTTTCATTCAGGCTTCCAATTCAGGATGGTAGATGGAATAAACCCTTTGAGAGGCAGTCCTTGGGACAGCTGTTTGCTGTAGCCAATAAATTGTCACTGAGGACATCTCCATCACATATCCAAGTGCATGGGTTCAAGTCCTGGCTCCACTTCATTTTTGTTTTTTATGTTTTTTTTTGGGGGGGAGGGGGTTGAAGATTTATTTATTTTCATTGGAAAGGCAGATTTACAGAGAGAGACAGAAAGATCTTCCATCCACTGGTTCACTCCCTAAATAACCACAACAACCAGAGCTGAGCCAATGTGAAGTCGGGAGCTTCTTCCAGGTCTCCCACAGGTTGCAGGGTCCTAAGGCTTTGGGCCATTCTCTATTGCTTTCCCAGGCCACAAGCAGGGAGCTGGATGGGAAGTAGAGCAGCCGGGACATACAGCAATGCCCGTATGGGATGTCTATGCTTGAAGGTGGAAGATTAGCCAGTTGAGCTGATGTGCTGGCCCCTCTAATTCCACTTCTTATTCCAGCTTCCTGCTAACCTACACTCTAGAAGGCAGCAGGTGAGGCTCAAGTACATGGGTCCCTGCCACCCACGTGGAAGACCTGGATTAATTTCCTGACTCCTGGCTTCAACCTGGGCCAGCCCAGGATGGATGGACAATCTCTGCCTGTCTTGGCCTTCAAAAACTTTTTTTTTTCTTTAAAAAAATAAAATAAAAATGAGACTGACATTGTGAGATAGCAGGTTAAGCCACCACATCTGCAACACCAGCTTCCCATATGGGCACTGGTTCAATTCCTGGATGCTCCACTTTGGATCTGGCCTCCTAATAGTACACCTTGGAAAAGTAGCAGATGGCCCAAGTGCTTGAGTCCTGTACCCACATGGGAAACCTAGAAGTAGTTTCTGTTTCTTGGCTTTGGTCTGGCCCAACCCTAGCTATAGTGACCATCCAGGGAGTGAAACAGCAGAGGAAAGATTCTCTCGCTCGCTCTTTTTCTCTCCCTATAGCCAGAGCTCAGCTAATCCAAAGCCGGGAGCTGGGGACTAGGAAGTGGAACGGTAGTGGAGCAGCTGGGAAGCGATGCCGGGAAGGAATATAAAAAGCTTAGGACAAGGCTTAGAGCCCAGGGAGGATAAATGAAAAAGAACAAACAGGAAAACCAGACACAAAATGTGAGAGGTTCCAAAGCAGGCAGGCTAATGAGGTTCTTCAACCAAACCAATCCCTTGAGTCTCCGCCCCAGAGATTCTGCTTTGAGAGGCTGGGGTGGAGCTTGGACCCCCGTAATTTTGAAAAGTTCTCCCGGTGACTCTAATAGGCAGTTTAGTGAAGAGGCTCCGACGGGGAGGCAGTTTAGCAGAGCAAAAATCAATTGCACTGAGAGCAGTGGTTCTCAGCTATGTAGAATCATCTGGAGAGCTATAAAATTCCTCCCATCCATGTCTCAGACCTCCTAAATCCAATTTCTGTGGGTGGGACCCAGACATAGGTGTTAGGTAGAGCACCCTGGGAAATTTCAATACAGTCATTCTTACAAACCACCAATTTAAGCACTCTTGTTTGAACTGTGTGCTTTCCATCAAGTTTTCAAAATGTAGACTTTTACTTTCTTTGTGGATAAAATGGAGCTAATACTATTATCCATTGTACCCAACACAAAGGTTCGTGTGAGGATCAAGTGAAATGAAATGAATGCTTTGGAAGCAGAATGTTGCTGTGGAGAAAATCTGAAGTCTTCATCTGGCCACCTGATTCCACCTGGCCTGGGCCCCATTCATTCCTGTAGCCTCATTCCCCATCCTTCTCTCCCTGGCTCATTCTGCTCCTTCTACACCAACTCCCAGTCTGTTCCTTAACTTGCCAAGATGGCTGCTGTCTGAAGGCCATTACACTTGGCGTCCTCCCCTATCTTCAAAGGCCTGCTGCATCCCGGCAGTCTATTTTCTGTGTTAATGTCACCTGTCAGGAGAGACCATGCTTGATTAGCTCTAGCCACAAAATTCTGTCTCCTTAATGTGCTGAATTAATTAGTGCACCTATCAATACTGAAATGGCATCATTCCTTTCTTTAGAGAGCTTTTGTCTGTTTTTCCTACCAGAATACAAACTCCATGAGAGCTGGGATTTGGAGTCACAGTACCTGACTCAACAATAGAAGCCAGGCCTTGAGGATACATGACAAATAAAGCCAAGCAGAGTCCCTGCCGGTAGCCATGTACAGCATGGAGGATGCGTGCTGAGGCCTAACAACTGAGTCACGAACCCTGGGAGTGCCTTTCAATCTTTGGGAAGGCCTGGAGACAAGCACCCAAGGTGGGCAGACAAAAAGCCTCCTTGGAACGTTGCCTAGGTGACAGACTCTGCCACAGTGCTCTCTGGCCCACTCTCCTCCATGCTTGTTGTAGTCCTTGGAAAGCAACTGCAGCTCATGCCCTAGAGAAAGAATGCAAGTTCCAGAGAACTAGAA